TCAGGCATCATTATTCATGATGACTTGAAATGGTCGTCACATGCCGCCGCCGCCCATGTATTCAACAGTCTAACATGACTCCTACTATCTTGGTCGGCTTATCAGCACCTGCACAAAGATGCCCCACCAGTAACTTCTAAATAAAGGTGCTAGAATTCGCTGAGAAGACCGACATTCCAGCGGTTAAAAACATTTTTCATTTTTTAGATCACCAAGTCATCAGATGGCAGATTGTATACATCTGTACAAAAGCCGAAAAATACAAACGCTTCGTGCTTCTATTCATTGCTCGCACGCTTTGCGACAGTGAAGCGCAACATGCATGATTCTTACAAGAAATCTCATGTCAATTTTTATGTTCGCTTTTTCTTGTTAACTTCATATTTATACTTGTTCGTCAGTTACAGCCAACATGTGTGGTAGAATCTTCTCTCGTATCATAAGCTAATAAACGCAATCAATAATGCGGACGGAGTCAAGAACTGCATAGGTACAATTACAGTTGGCGCAGAACTTAAATGTTTCTAGAAACTTAGCTTAAAACACCCAAAGAGTTAAGAAAATTTACAAATTCATGGTTTTAGCAATGACCGACTACTGATAACGTTGAATCTTTGAACGGTTCGATTTAAAACGAATTAGTCATCGTGGGATCAAATGTCGTTAAAGTCGGCGACCTTTATCATCAAGGGAACATTATACATTTTGCCAGTTAGCAGCATTTCACATTTTTGGACCACCAAAATCTGCAGAGATCCAGATTGAGAGGTCCATACTGTACTTTTTCCATCTCTGGACACAACCTTGTTAACGGATTAGAATGTTTCCATCTGAAGTTACACAAATCAGACCACTCTTGATTTTCACCCTGACTGACGATCGAACACTGCCTTAAGTTGGTACTCAGAGTCCAGTTAAAGGATACCCACGGCCTCGCTATGGAGGCTTTCCGAGCCTCGGAGCACCTAGTATAGCCGAAACAGACTAAGATCTGTTCCCAGAATTTTGAAATATACTTTCTTTGGTTAGATGGCGTCTTAACTGCCCCAATTCCACAATGGAATCTGTTTCTTATTAACCGCAATTTACGGCATCTGATTAGCAGACAGAACGATGAGGTGAAACCAGTTATGGCTATTTTCAAAAATCTGTACTTTGTGTCTACGCTATACGCATAACAGGGATCTGATTGGAAGCCCTGGTACGTTATCCAGAAACTTGAAAGAATTCCCGATTACTGAGTGCGCAAACTTCGTCTACCATTCTTGCAGGTAGTTCCGCGTATAGAAATGAGGTATCACGAAACTACGGCATTCCCAAGATTATTGTCACCCTTTTTCATTAACTTAACAGTAACAGTAAAGCCGTTGAGAATTAGCAAAGCTGCTTAGGAACATGAATTCCAACGACAATGGCACTTTCTGGTCTCTCGGTCTGCTACACGGGTTAGTTTCAGAAGGATATTGGAACGATAAGAGTCGGATCAAGTTGTACAACGTTATAAAAAACAGATCAGAGGGATTGCAAAAGCCACCGGTAGCTAAATTCTCAGCGTCACAGGAACGGTTTGTACAAGGTTAAAAACGATAAACTAACTATCTGCGCGACAAGTGTTTCAAGTAGAACAGTGTGGCTGTCCTCGCAAGAGCAATATACTAAATAATATCGTTATTAACGCGAAGTTTGTGAAAAATTATGCAAATATGTTAAGTTTGCGTCAAGTAAAGCTCTTCACAAAAGCTTAATGGCCATAGCCGAAGCTGAGAAACGTGTTGCAGGAGTATTTGAAGTAAAGTCAGTAAGTGAGTGAAAGGAATGCCACAATATTTTCTCCATGGCCATCCAGGAGCTCATCAACGAGTTCACGTGAGAAAATCGACGGATGCTTCTATTCCAAGGGCGCGTTGGTCTACGTCAAATTGCGTAGTGTCCATTTAACTGGATTGACAACAGAAGGACACCATGATGTGCTCGTATCGCAGACCACTGACTTACTACCCTTTAAAAGGCTGGTCGTACCGAAGCAAAATGCGGTGAATTGTTTGCTTAAGGGAGAGAGCAGTTACTAAGAAAAAGTTACGATCGACTGGGTGGGATTCGAATCCCGCCTTTCTAACTACGTTTCTAAAGTCGCTAGCGCCTGAAGCTCAGGGTTAAAGGTTCGAGCTTTGATCAAGTCAGTCGATTTTTTCCTTATGAGTCTGAGAAATGAGTGCCAGCCTTCTGAAAAATAAACAGGAAACTACACAATACAGTACTCACAATGCTGTAAACTTACAGTCAGATGAACACAGCAATCAAATATTCCTGGCAGACGGCACAGAAACCGACAGTAACGCCGCAACAAAGCTTCATGAAAAATAATTCCATGAACAGCACCTAATCATGAAAGTGTAACGAAGACAGACATCCCGGTGATTACAACCTTTCCTTCTTTTTCTAAAGTACAAAGCAAAATTACAATTACTGCGCAGCTGCTTTAACCGACTACTGATGAGAGAATCGCTGCACACCTCTGCGAACAAAAAAAGCGAATAATGACCCACGACAACAAAGGCAAAAATACTAGCAGCCAGAGGCAAACCTTTGAATCGAAAGATATGAATACTGCACGACATCCGGACTTGAAGCTAAACACGTTTTCTGAGGAGGTGGCAATTTCGACGCTTTCTTACATACGCATGTTTCAATCCAACTAATTTCAAATATGCATAAACGTTAAACTGAAAAACGTACATGTCTTTATGCGGGAGGTGATATAATCTTTTGGTAAGTCACAAACGGGGAGGCAACGCGTAAAATGTTCTTTCATTAGAGGCATCTAACGCTTCAGACCAAGCTTGGTTCGTCTTCAGAGTAGAGAGACCGACCAACCGAGCTTGGTCCGAAACGTCCAATGTCGCTAATTAAAGAACATTATATGCGTTTTTTTCACGTTGTTGACTAACCAAAAGATTATAAACGTTAAACTGCTACAATTTGCAGACTGAACCAATAAGAAACAATCAAAGCATTTCGACCAGTCTAAAGCGGACCAGGTATAAATTTCAGCATCATCGATCGATACTTTAAATCACACTCACAAGGCAGAACCTGCTGCGCGAGGCGGTCACTTTTATACCGTAATTACTAAATTATTTGCAAGTTGTATTACGTAGATGAAACAATTAACTACGTTTTCGCCGCAACAGTGGTTATATAACGAGTCCTACATTAATTCTCATCAAAATCGCTGATATAAACCAGCTTCAGGTAGCTACATTGGAAAAAAATCGTTTTTTCAGCAACGTAACAAGGTTAAGTCACTCAGTTTAAAAGGATTTGAGATGATTTAGGGGTCGTATACAATATTATTTGTTAAACACTTTCAAAAAGGAATATAGACCAGTACATAAGTAAAAATGGCACGTTTATAACCATTTGAATATTAGTCATCCTTACTCTTTCATAATTTGGCCATTTTAGAGCTGCTCTTTTATGAACTTAACGACTGAACGCCATTGCCAGTCACAAGCCCCTTCGAGAAAGGAGGAGGGTTGGAGACAGTGGCGAAGTCACCGTAAAATTTCGCCACAAGCCCTTCATAGCACCGACTTCATCAAAAGCTATGCAAACTCGGTCGTCGGCTGAGTTACCACGGGCCGCGCAGGCTGTTGCGGAACTGAGGCAGACTGCGCAAAGTCGGTGATCAGAATCTGTTCATTGCCCTCTGCCAGACGGGGGCGTGGCACCCCAACAACGGTTGACGAA